CAATTCATTAAGTCAATGACATTATATTTCTAGGTATGTAACGTAGGCCACCAACGATTAAAACGTCGCTGTTTAATTCAAAATAATGACTTCATAACAACCGGAAAGAGTGTTAATCAAAGTCAGAAACCTAATACGTTACGATTCTCTATATCCGCCTACGCGCCGCAATGTTTAACGCGAATTTATGAACGCATTTTTAAAGATGGCAATGAGCTTTCAAATTTTATTACAGAGAACGTTGAACATAGGTCACTACTATGTCTTCGCCTAAAAAGCGAACTTTTTCTGTATCCGCGTATTGAGGGAAGCGTGGGCAATCTTTTGTTTTTGTGTCTGGCCACCCGATCGCTTCCTCCCTTTGTCCGGTTCAACGAATTTTAGGCTTCCCGTCATCCCTTTTAATATTGATGCAATGCAAAATCTAATAGGTCTTCCTTTACGATTTTTTCATTAGGAATATCTGATTTTATATCTCTAATATATCGCTTACAGGAGCGGTAAATAATTGCGTTTGATCCGTAATAGATTACAACAAATACAACACATAGATATACTAGATAGAAATACAACAACGTATAGATTATGAAGTAAGTAGCATATGAGAAAGGTAGCAACTGAAAAGCAATTCTTACTTTCATATTTAAAACAAACATTATTTATTGCAACGTGAGATACCTTGTCGGTGTATGTATTGTACCTACTGCGACATTATAACTGTATAGACTTAAGCAAAATATTGTATATAAGCACTTCACAGGTTCCTAAGCTCCTATTTATCGTTATTATTAGTAACTAACTAACTAATAACTTCTATATACTTATAGTAAACGAAGAATAAGGAACAAAAGAATTTGAACATAGAGAATATTTGATAAACATCTGTCAAGTCTAGAATCCTGACATCTGCTTGCCTCATGCATTGCAGTGTGCAGATAATTATGGTGGCTTATAACAATAAAAGTCTTGTTCTTTAACAGTTCTGTAACGGATGAGAACAGCTGTTTTTAATTTATCAATAACTCTTCGACGCAGCTTTTAATCTGCATCATACACCTTATACTGACATTATTTGCTTTTTAATATTGATAAAATTAAGTAAGTGTTCTTATTGAATAAAACACTACACTCATATATAGTTTGAACCGTAAAGTTCAAAACATGTGTGTTGACAATATGTAGTTGCTGTAGTTAAATGTTTCGCCGATAACAAAAGTTTATATCAAAAATGTATAATGTGACTCCTACATAGTTATGAACGATTCATAGCAATTTAGGAAGGATCATTTTAAAGGGTGAAACTCTCGTAATACCTATACAAAGAGGTTTTGATTTATCAACCGTTATCTTGTCAATTTTAAAGCACAAAATCGTAGTGCATTTTGCGCATTAGCGTATGTAATTTGTGAATATAAATCCCTTATAATATAGCCACGTGATGTTCGATAATGTGGTAATAAAAATAGTACAATTTTTACGACTGGCAATATTTTGAAACAACGCAACATCACGTTGGTCGCAGCACGTGAACAACATTCTTTGTAAAACAACTGCTTTATTTCACTTTATTCGCAAACATACAATTTGATATATTTCGGCTTTTATTTCTTTTTGCATTTAAATTATATATTTTGTGCTTATATAATTATATGACGTGTTTCTTTTTTTTGACATGCCTAGTAGCATGTACATTGTATAGATGTATGATTTAATATTGTTTAATTTAAAGCCTTCCTAAATAGCTTGAAGATTTTTCTCTTCAACATACACCAAGCTATTAAAAAAAATTAAGTACTCATTTAGATTTTGTGATTAATTTTTAATATCAAAGGTCGAGAACAATTACTAATTAATTCGTCAGATTAAAATAATTCTCAAACTAGGCGTAACGGCGCTGATAAAATTCCTCAAAATGGAATTATCCAAGAACTAAATTATTCAACTTGGCGGAATTAAGAGGTCGCTTTTTTCTATCAATGCCTTAAGCATTACGCCACTGGAAAACCCCAAAACAACAAAATCTAATGATAATATATTTTGTTCAAGCTGTGAACAGTTTAGATAGCGAATAGTTTTAATACATTAGGAATTAGTTTTAATCAAGAAAAGCAATTAAATTTTAACACAATACAATCAAAATAATTTAGACTAAATTTTAGTCTTAATTATTTTGTTAACAATTGTATCCAGAGTTAAAAGAAAAGGTTTTTTAAACACAATAGTTTTAAACACTTGAATTCGTTTTTTAATAAACTGTCAAAAACGTAAGAAAAAGTACATTGAAACATTATTTTTAGAATTTATGCCATGAGAGCTTACATACGCTCCATCAACAAATGTTAAATTAAAATGTATTTATGTTTATTAAAGTGGAATTTATGCTTTTCTTTTTTTGTAATGCTTCTTTTTCAATAAAGTAATAATATCTAGTGAAGAGAATATAGTTTTTCTGTTAGTTCGTTTTTTATCTAGAAGTGTAAGACTTGTATCATTCTGATGATGAGATATATAATATTCTAACATTCAATTAAATTTATTTAATTCATAAATTAACGATAAAAAATTCATTGGAAAATAATTTCTTATATTCGGATATTCGTCGCCACATGTCATTGTGACGTCAGACCAATTGGTTACCAGATGTGTATGTGCAGATGGGACATAATAGCTGTAATAATGCTTAGCTTGTTTGACATCTGTATCTGTAAAAAGGGTGACTTCTGTGCAACTAATGACCGCTGCTTTTGCACTCACAATGCACAGATCTACTGAACGAAACGTGTATAAATGGAAATCTAAAGTTCTTAAAATCTAGATATCAATATAAGGATGATATATTTGTATATAGTTCGAATAAAAGTGTCGCTCTTTATATCTAACATGTACCTACGACTTACGTGTACCTAAGTTTCTTTCTTTCTTCAAATCAAATTTTTTGTTTCTTCTTGACTATATATTCTACTATTTAGTTATTATATACCTACTCGGGAGGGCCGATTAAAGGACTGACAATAATTAAATGACATTATAGAAAAGTTAAAATTTATAATATTTTAGATCCTTATGTAGCCTACCGTAGTCTTCCTATGGAGCCTTGCATAGGTCGTAGCGTAGATAATACCTTCTTGGAACACTTTTTGATAACAATCAGTTGTATAGTAGAATAATTCAATAATTGTAACAAGAACGACCACAGATAACTGTTATCGTATTAAGCTAGTTAATACTTTAAACCATTTTCGTGTGAATTTAGCATTCGTTTTCGAGACACCGAAACGTTTAAAAAAATAAAAAAAAGTTGAACCTGTTGGAGCAACCGTAGACATAACAATAAGAAATTCTTACAAGATCGTTACGTAATGTGATAGCCATATAATTTTTACTCTACATCCGAATACTATACTCTGCAAAGGACTATAGTCTATAGAAGTATAGACTATTTGTATTGCAACTAGCTGGCAACCTAGTTCTAATAAAAAATAAACAGAATTCGTTTCGTCTTTTCAGATCTCACACGACCCCCGCCGTGCGACATGTGAACAAACATACGTGACTATTTAAAATTAAATTCACTAGACAATTGAGTAACTCTTATGCCTATAGTAATAAGGGCTGCAGTCGTTTATAAGTTGTTAGAAATAAATATGCAGTATAATACACTTGTATAGACGAACGGTTTTTGTTTTCACCCTCGCAACATGTGCGGGAGGCGTTTTTCAAACCCCTTCTGTTTTTACTGATAAATAAATTAGTATTGATTGATTTTCTAACGACAAATGTGAATTGTTTGTGAAATTGGCTTTCAGATTCATGACTCCTTGATAATCCTTCCTTGACACCAATTACAAGTTATAAGGATTTTTAAAACAATTGAGGGAGAGATAAATATGTTTTGAATGACATTTGTAGTCATCAATGAATGAAAATTGAATAACGATTTAACAAAACTACATTTGTAACCATTCAATTTCCTAATTACTTTATAGCTGTTAACATGTAAGATATCGGATATCTAAAGAATACCTAACTATGCTTTTAACACAACGCAATAAATGCCTTTTCTTTACAATCATAATTTTTTGTGACATGAAACTATAAGTAATATAAGAAAGTACAATTTCTTTCTTTACGCAATATTTACAAAGATCATTGAAAGATTTTTTATAAAATATTAATATTATAATACAATATGTGCATATATCGACATACAAAATGATACAAAGTTATCTCTAGAATTAATTACACAGTCTATCTTCAAAGTATTTATAATATTTCAGTTTACTGAGATAGGATCACAAATATTTCTAAAATGTGACTCACTTAGTATTTACGCGTGTCCTTTTAAAGACCTAAATGTTTATTTATAAGCGACCACGTTTGGACGTCGGATTTATAGTTTCGACGGCCGCTAGCTTCCGGCGCTTATGTTATATTATTTATTATTTAATCCACGTGATTGTCATATCAATTAAAATGCATGGCATAGGTATTGCACCTGGCGCCTAGTTGATAACATATAAGCACTTAGAAATACCTTAAACATACTTTGCGACAATCACCGACGGAGGCAATACGTAATATTTAAGAGAACACAATACTTTTATTAAAATAAAGTTTGAAATACCAATAGGTACCGTCTGTAATGTACGCGAGTAGTATACATTTAAATAAAACACTTTAACGCGAACGAAAATGTATCGCGTTTTAAACCGTTAAAGTGTTTTATTTAAATACCAATAGGTACTCATTGGGTTGTCCAAAATTATCGATAGTTGCAAATGTGTTTGAGTTAAATCTTTCAGGTTGCTCGATACGTAATTAATCTATAGGTATTTATGTGTATAACTAATATTTCAGTTCCCTAAATTTAATGTTTAATACATTTTATAAAATAAAATTAATTTGTAAACGTTTTAATAGTTAAAGTAGTGCAACTACTACGTGTACAAAGTATGAAACTATCAAATAAACAAAAAGTAGAATTTAACCATTAAAATTACCTTTAACATCAGCCCGCGCAGCATCCGTAGTGGTCAAAACACTGGTCATCATAAACGTCATATAATTTCAATCCAAAAAGTATATAATCCTTTCTCAAAAATCCACTCAAAAGAGCATCTTCAGTAGCACGGCACTCACTGCAATAAAATTGTCATCGCAACTTTGTTATTACGTTCACGTACGATCTTTCTGACGGCGAGAGACACACCCTCCTCGTCCAACAGTTAGCAGTCAACTAAAGTACAAAAGTAATAAGTTGGCTCGAGCCGAAGCGGGTAAAAAAGCCCGGCGCCAGGCCGGTCTCGCCCTTTAGAGATGCGCCCGATATGATATACGATCGGTTTATCGAACGTTGAAAAATTGCTCACGTCTTATTAAATAAATCGCGAAACATATAGCCGATGCGACACCGTGACCATAGAAAAAGCCAGACGCAGATAATCCCAGCGGCACGTGAAGATAACAGTATGTACTGATTGATGTTATCGTTAGAAAATACGAATTAACTATTATTTCATTGTTAGGCGATGTTTAGTGTTTGAATTTTTTTTTATAATTTTGGAAGACTGTATGTTCCCAGGAAATTAGTATATGGTTGTAATGTAAATAGGCTATATTTTTTATTTCTGAGCTTATGACGTTTAAATGTATAGTTGTTGTATTTTATTTATTTTTTGTTGTGTTAATAATTGTTGTGATTATTCAATAAGTATTGGTAAACTTATGAAATATAAAACTTCATATAATACACCTAATTGAACTCTACCTCTTTAGAAGGATAATATTTGTGTTTGTTATTGGGTCATTATTTTGAAATTACTTTTATACAAAAATCCTTATAAATGTTAAAATAGATTCAAGCTTACTAAGTATATTTATATTTAAATAGTCCTTATCAGCTTAAATGTATCTTTTAGCAGGAGTAACGACAATATCGTTTGACTAATAATTTGTCAGTTAATTTAACTAGACTGTTGTCATCATAACAATACAATTATTTCATTATCACAAGGCAATGAGTTAAATGTCCCACAATCTGATAGTATTATATGTTAATGTTGCCACGTTTGCAGTTTGCAGTTGTGACCAAATTATACACGATATCTAACTTTGCTTAGCTACAATGCGCATGAGACTTGGACTTGTTGGTATGCTTAAAGAGTCTTAAGGGATCATTTTGACCCTTTAAAGCAGAAAATGTGTTATAGTTCATTCGATTAATGCGGCGAATGTCGTTATCGACATTTCGCAGCACTGGCGCGCCAGACGCGACGGTCGCATTCTCTCGTCGGGCGCGGGGCGGCGACTTGTCGTGAACACCGCGCCGCCTCGGATCTGAACATTTGTTACAACTTGCAGGCTATTTCCACGTCCACATGTGCACTTGCGCATCCGTGACTCACGGTACGCATTACTCTAGTTTACAATCGTTTATTCGGTACGCTGTGATGATCGATACATTAGATTCGAATTAAATTAACAATACGCGATGTGTGTCTTTAGTATTTAGTCGTTATAATATGGAAAAGAGTATTATTATCTATTTTTGACCGAAATCTTAACTCCTTTTCTCAGTACCTTTATTACAAGCGTGTAAATAAATGAAGCATAGATATTTTTATAATTGATTATTTCGTCTATGTAACGTTGGGACTATAGAACAGAATGTTTTTGCTTTAGTAAACTATCAAACTTATAATATGATGTAGAACTTCAAAAACCAAACAAATTTAGTATATTACAAACAGATGAAACTTAGTACTCTACTAATGCAAATCTTGGAACGAACAATCCGACAAAGGGAAAGAAAAGGCGAAAAATTTCCTGCAATTCGGCAGATGCTTAGTCACAATGACATGATAAAAATGACGTCAGAATTGATAAGTGAAGATATAAATTAATCCCATAAGCGAGACGATCTCACCTAAAAGGTAGGCGGCGATGTATTTTTCGCTTATGGTAGAACATGTGTTTTTGTTTGGCCTCGCTGTGATTCCTTCAACGGCAGATTTGTGGTCTGGCATGGAGGCGGCGTCCCCTTTATCATCTCTTAACGCGTCCAGATTTGGCAACGTCGATACGAAATCCTGTTCCGTCGGCTTTTTGCTCGGACATTTCCTCAGATTCAAGGAACGGCATGCAAAAAGAGCAATTTCGCCTCCAGCCTTTTATACAGGTTTTGTCATGAATTTTTATGGGCTCAAACGGGGTAACAACATAAATTCGACTCATGAGCGTAGCGATACACAGTGAAGTTTCTGGTTACACATATATGGAGTAACCATATAGAATAATTGCGCTTAACGACCCCAAAATTAACATGTTAACGTGCAGTTTAATGGAATCGTGTATGTTACGAAAATGCGGTGTTTGGACAAAAATTTGAGTCGCGGTCTCAATACCGCGAGAAGTGTGAAAGGATAACTCCTGAATAAACAAAATCGCCTGAGATAGTAAATATTCGACCCAGTATAAACTTGTTCCGCGTGGGCGTGAAAATGGTCAGGTAAGGCTTTTGACACCTAGCCATGACCGCTGGGGAATAGCGTGAATATTGTCGCGTTCTGTTTAGCGTCTCATTTTTTATTGCCTCTATTTGATCAGTCCCTCTCAGAATTGATCCGTGTACTCCCTTAGGTAAATTACGGATGAGTTGTTTTTATTAACGTTACAAATAGTACACTTTACGTATTAGAGGGATTGTAAACAATTTTTGTAATTAGGCGAGGATTCGATCAGGTTCGGTTTTATTTTGTTAACTATGGAGCCGAAGAGACGGTTTCCATCCTATAACGATCAATATGTTTCTTATCCACTAGCTACTTAAAATTCCTTTAATATTACGTCCTAAAAAATACAATACAAAAATTGGGTTCTTAATAATCTGTTACAATTATTGCATTTACGTAACATTGCAATAAATTATATAGTATCTATCTTCCCACACAAAAATATATAGTTATAAACATACATTTCTACGTAAAACGCAACTCACAAACTTTTTCCATATTTATGACCGATAACTCATTATGCGATGATTAAATTTGAAATATTGCTAAAATATTATGTACTCTTTTTAAAAAAAGCTTTCTTTTCTTAAAGATTGGAATTGTTAAAAGGAATATTAGCCAGAAAAATGGCAATGTGAGCTTTATTCATACACAATCAGAGGTGAAAATCAGGTTTCAAGTGGTATTCTCAGCTGATTTAATTTGTATGTATCGAATTGTAATTTTAAGCATTTAGAAATAGGGTTCAAATTTGTTTGCGAAAATAAATATAACTGGTAGGACAGAAGGCGCCGCACTTGCCGCCGTGGCGCCGGCTGGCCGCCGACACCTCGTGTATTATGGACTAGCCCCGTGACCTGGCGTCGATCAAGTCACTTGCTTCCGAAAGCCAATGCTCATTTCCTAGAAAATAGCCATTATCACCAACCAAACATGTTACTTATTATTCAAAAGCAATTATGTGAAACACAATTCGTAATCGCTTCATTAAAACTGTTATTTCGAAATAACAAAAGATATTATTAGAATCGCATTTCAAATATTAGATCATTGGTTTTGATAAGCTTTTTATATTATCCAATCTTTTTAATTTATACGCTTTCAATCGGATAACCTGCTACATAGCATAACTGTAGTACATAATTACATCAAATTGTTAATTTAATTTCATTATTTTTAAAGGTAAAATGTAATGAAATCAAATTTTGCTAAATATTTTGTTCAAGGAACAAGGACACAAACAGACAGTGGCACTTGTATCCACACATCGAAGCGTAACGAAATAAAAAACAAGTGTTTAAAAAGAGACAAACATATAACGTGTCCCTAACTCCGAAACGAAACATCGATAATTTATGCGGACATCCCTAACAACAGGAATGCAACGCGCCGAGATATTCGTTTAATTTTAAACTTTATTACGTCTCAATACAATCTAAATTAGTTTAGAATGGCCAAAAATAAACCCTGTGGTTGAAACAGGTGTTCGTGGCTTTGACTCTTTTATAAGATCATGTGATTGTCAGCTTTGTGTACGTTGTCGAAGGTTCAATTTGGACCTTTCGTTATTGGACTAACGTCGTTTTGGCTTCATTAAAATCCTTCATTGCTCCCAGATGTGCATTTTGAGTGTGCTTCTGAAGGCGAGGAAAATATCAGATAGATTACTACAATTAGTGAAGTAATAGAAGTATTATAGTGACTGGTTAAAGTCCCCATTTGGGGCGTGATCAAATATTTTATTGAGAGGTTTAATTTTTAATTTTAATCTGTTTAAAACATAAAAAAGTGTTTAAATGTACTTTGTGTCATCGCTACACTCTTACCACTGAACAATGGGGGCGATACCGAGCAATATCTTTTGCTGTATTTGGAATTACCATATATTAGAAACTGATGATAATGATATCATATTTGTATTATAATTAACAAAAAAATTACACAGGTACCTAACAAACAATCGTTCTAAGATGATCTATTAAAATCAAGCTGTGAATTCTTGACGGGCCATGATTTCAACGTGGTAATGTTAAGTCGAAATGGTCCAGCATCCAGACTTACAAGAAAAAAAAACTATTGTTCTTCACACAATGGCGGGCTGTCACCTCGTCACTCTGACTTTGACAGCTAATGCGCCGGCGCTCAAACCTGATTTGATTTTTTTAAGCGAAGGGCTCGTAGCGTGTAGGTGTATTATTTTTGAAAGTAACTGTAAGTTGGCCCTTAGCTTTTAATGCCCGAAACAATTTGAATCCTAAAAGGACAGCCAACCAAAATAAAATTCGACATTGGGGTAGTTAGTGTAAATGCGATTCGTTCTTCAGATAAAGATCTTTTGCTGATCTAAGTCTATAATTTAAATTAGGATCTAAGCATTAAAACACCAATGTCAGCCACTTAAACGCTTAAGTAAAGTCAAATTTTAATAGGTTATAACTTTTTTTTAAATAATATTTATGTACTCAGGGAGGCTTAGTATTATAGTAGTTAGCTTATTATATTTTCAATTATAACACTTTTCTTCTTTCTTTCTTTTCACTAAATATTATTACACTCAAACAGTGCAAAAACTGTTGCAAGGGTTATCTAAATTCTTGTGAGACTTTTTCCACCTGTAAGGATTCGAACTCCTAACCCAAATCCCGGCACCTGATCCGCACCTGCAAAGAATCCTTTCATTTTTTGTTCACACACCTGCACCCTGGGAGCTATACTACACCATTGCGTAAGGTAGAGTTACAGATCTACAAATATGATAGACTCGCCAATAAAATGTTTCATTTATAAGGAATGTGCCTCAATTATTCGTTTACTTTTGTCTTAAAGGTTTATTCATTAATCTTTGAGAAGCAAAAATAAAACGGCAATTGATTATTTAAAAAAAGATTCAACTTTCCGTACATGTATTTAAAATGTGTGTATGATAGAGATTTACTATATATATAAAGAAAAAACCTATACGGTATAGTGTGTTGTGTTATAAATTAAAAGTTTTTTTTTTTAATGGCACTAACTTACCTATTAAGGAAACACATGAGAATCAAAATAATATAGAAGGGATCGTTTGTTAGCACACTATTCTATATGAAACGACTCCTTGAAACATCTCTTCTAAAATATTTTAAGTCTACGGAAACGGTACTCAAGACGATATTTTAGTTTTTTCTACAAAGGTGTGATTCCGAAGCCGATTAAAGTAGGTTTTTTGCTTAAATTGCCTTAACTTGATATACAATAGTTACCTGTGTGGATCTCAACACGTAAAAACTGTCGTAGCGTAAATATTTTAGGCAATTTATACCTTAATTGTTGGTAGAATGAAGATTCTGTATTATACCTACCCCTTTATTTATTATCTAACACTGATGAAAAAAATTGTGTTATATTAAGAGTGTGCTTTGGTTTTTTAAATTTTACTCACCAGTGTAAACACTACGTTGCGGACAATTTGTAACATAACATTCAAGCTCTTAGTTGCAGATAATTTTAATCTAATTACGAACTTAATTACTCGAATAATAGCCTACTTAAAATATTGTTTATAATTTATTATCTATATTTTAAGCCTACAATAAACTGTTAATTAGGTAAGTATTTATGTAAATTACCGTTGACATGTTGGTATGAGTTTTTAAAGGAAAATATGGAGCTGAGCGCAATATTAATATTTTATTTTATATACGGCTTACCAACTACATACATAATTTAAACTTACATCTATTTCTAATAATAGTTCTTACTACTTATATATCTAACTTAAAGATCAGCACAACTTTAACTTGGAGGTAGTAATAAAGAAGATGACCAATTTGAAAATGTTATATAACACAATACGGATATTTGTCGATAGTAAAACATTTGACCACCCTGCCAAAGCCACTTGACCAAACACGAAATAAACATACTGTGGGGTCTGGAATTAGGGAAATCGCAAAAAAGCGCTCGAGATGAGTTATGACATCATCAATATCAGCAAATTCTTTCGGAAGGCGACACATGCAGCCGCACAGATGTCATCGTGAACCGATATAACGACTTGCACTTCCGCTAATGTATAATCTGTTCGTTGGACATAGTATTGATTACCTCTAAGCCCAATTAAAGTAAGACAAATTTTTGATACAATTGAATTTTTGTGTAAGAAAAGACACCGTAAATATGAACTTTGTCAGTGTTTAAAACTGTCTTTACACATAGTAATTTTTATTGTAGGTACATTAGAAAAATCACAGCTGTTATCTACACCTGTATCATTTTAATTATCTGCTTGATTAAGAGAATAGAGCTTAAACTGGTCTTCAAGGTACAACAAGTTACTACAAATTGCAAAGTTAAGAGAGTAGAGCGAACGAGAAGAACTGACAAGAAACTCGCCACCACTCGTTTTAATTGCGTCATATCCATGTTAGTCTATCCTAATCTTGTATGATAATATTCCTACTAAACTGTAACATATCTGTTTACACCGCCGAGATGCGCGGTGGTTCGGCAAAAAACCACCCTTAAATTCTGACAATTTGACAGTAAATGAGCCGGATGCCTGCTTAATTGGTTCCAAATTGGTCGTGTATGCTGCAAAGTGCGGATAAATTAACTTACAACTAATTACTATATAGTAACTAACTAATTACGTATTTTTTTATTAAAGACCTATATAGATATAAAAAGTGTTGACATTAGTTTAGTCCACGCATTGTCTAAGTAAATTACGGAACAAACGTGAAATAAGATTATGAACAAAATTTTGTGATAAGTCTTCTAGTAAGTATAAGATATAAATTAAATGTTTATTAATGTACGCTTTATATCAGCAAGCTATATAGTTGTTAATGAATAATTTTGTCCCAAACTTTTTCGATAAGAGTTAACATTGAACATTGTATACGACGAAACACAAACAGATTTCAAATATTCATAACTAAGTTTCATTTGAGCAATACATTATTTTATTTAATAGCTAAACATATCTTCAATTAACTTCAATTGTGTCTTTAATTTGAAACAATGAGTTTACATGGTTCAGTTTTGGTTTAAAAACGTTCCCCAATTTCAAGTAATTTAAACCTTACACTAAACTGTTTTTGTACAGGATGTGACACGTATGTTTACCAGCCATAAGCATGTAACGACATAATGACGAACACATCCCACGGGACCACAGATAACGCTCAATTATTGGGACTGGCAACATTTGTGACAGGACAATAAATTAATGAGAACGCGGAATTCCGTATTGCCAGCAATTGCGGTTTTAAGATAACAGGCGTAGGATATAATTTGAGTGTCAAAAGTTCTTATTCGAAAATCCATAGATATTAATATGTAGAGAATATGATTAGTCATAGATTTATTTGACAGTCGCGATTGTACCATACCATGGGTTCGTTGGTGTAATGGTATCAGTGTAGGGCTAATAATAAACTGGTCCCGAGTTCGATCCCCATCAGGTACAACATTTTTCTAATTAATGTATATGTTTTTTTAAACATTCCAGACAAAGTCCATCGTCTGGAAATCTGGATGTTAAATGCGTGGTAGGAATATCGAAAGTCCGTCCGAGTTACGAACCACCGTCCACAGATGAAGAAGCCGTTAAGTTATTTCGCGTTTCAGTCTGGAATTCCGAATATCCGAAGCCAAAAGAGGTTGACAGCTCATCTTGTTGTATTGTATGTTATATGACTGTGGTGATTCACCTACCATGATTTTTTGTTCTCCTAATATAAAAAAAATACGTTAACGTTAACTAAACGCACGACATACTGCTCGCACTTTTTGATGAAGTCTTGAGTTCCACTTTCAGACATACAAATACAGATTATTTTAGTGTATATTTAAGTGTGAAATGTCCGAACCGAACGTATAATATTATAGATGTTGCGCGTAGGAATATTAAATTAACCAACAAAGTTAACTTTAGTAGTAACATCAGACCAAGAAAATGTTTTAGCTAGGAAAATGTGTTACAAAGCGTGATCCTATATTTGTTGCCTTCCATTCATTTACACTTCATTCACAAAGTTATCCGTTAGCGTCTCATGGAATTTGACAGCGCCGCCCAAGGTTTACGAACGGCTGTTAAACTTGCTTCAACGTAAATAAACTTCATTCATTGCTCTAACAGTTGTTTCGGAAGTATCGCTTCCTGAGGTGGTACGGGGTGGCAACTTTTTATATTTTTCGGCAGCCAAGTCAAGTGTGCACATCTATAAAAATCGATTCATAGGATTTGCTAGATACCTTCAAATGATACTGTCTGTAGTTTACGCGAGTAGTACACATTTAAATAAAACACTAACGATTTTAAACGCGATATATGAGACCCGGCTCTCCCCGTGACCACGGCTGCTGCAAAGCATGCGAAACGTCGAGCCGATGTTTTAAATAATTTTCGCGTTTTAAACCGTTAAAGTGTTTTATTTAAACCTTTAAATGATGTCAACAGCAATGTATTGCTAATCAAGAATTCGTGGGTTCGATCCCAACGGGTCCAACAAGTTGGTCTTCGTCAAGAAATCTGGATATAAAAGGGTTGGTTGGAATATCGAAAATCCATCCGGGTCACGAGCCGCTGACCACGGTCAGTTTAATCTGTAATTTCCGAATGTCCAAAACCAAAATAGATTGACAGCCCACTTTGATGAGATGTTAGATGGCCATGTGTCTCTATTCTCCTCGATGATAAAAATCACTATGAATATAAAAAAAAATCCTCCGACAATATTGTAACTACATATTACAATATTGTCGGAGGATTTTTTTAACAAGTTTACATTAACATAATATACTTCATATTTTCTCAAAATATCTGAATAATTTAAGGTTTTAAACTACACAAACCGTTAATAGCTAGTAAATATACATAAAGCTGACAATTATAAGCCAAAAGTTTACAAAATGACTTTATCTCAACATTACGCATACTTTAAACCTCGTCGTAACATATAGTTAAAATGGAAGTCTTGTGTTAACAACAAACAAGAGCTATACCGTAGTATTATCTATGATCATCTATTGTATTTTAGATGATATGAAAAATGAAACGAATCCATAGATAGTTATCAACGAGACTCCTGAAGTTCTAAAACCGTGAACGGAAGCCACACGCGAGTTCCAAATTTGTTCGTGTTAATGTAAAGTCTCGGTTACATGGATCAATGTTCATATGTTTCAGAAAGTAATCTCTTTAAAGCAGATATAGTGTATTTTGATTATATAGTATATGAGACTGCTAAGGGCAGAGTGGCCAAATAAAGAAAAGTGCAATTAACTTAGGCGAAAATGAATTTAACTATTTAATGTGTAAGAATTATGTTAACAATTTTTGGTCACTTTGCTCTTGTAGATTAACATTTTAGACTATGATAATATAAATAACTTCTGTCATAAAATTGCAGTTGGACTTCTAATTTGTCTAGTGTTTGTATGACTTTGGGCTTTCGTTTTGAAGATAGAATTTTTAAATTAGTGCAACTTTGGTTTAATGCATTGGAAACATAAACTTTACAATAAGAAATATAACTTTATGATTTGCTAGTACTACATTTGAAAAAATAAATGTAGTTGCTTTGAATAACCTCGTATAAAATATACCTATAATAATTTTGACAGGTTTAGGAAACTTGGACAAATGATTTAAATTACTCAAGTGAATTAAGTACTTAATAAATAAAACTATT